AAAACCTCTGTAATTTAAGTAGGGTAAGTATCGACACGATCTAATGCGGAAACTTGGTTTCTAAGAGATTCCCTGTCATGGTAAAAAGACAATTCTGAAGGGACTATCTCATCTACTAAAGGTTCGCGTAAAGGTTCAGCATGATCTTTACCCCTAGAAGAAGATTTTTGAGAAAGGGAACCTCTGGTTCTAGAGGAAGGACCAGAACTAGGAGAGGGCATAGACGAACCACCTCCTCGAGTAGATCCTAAACTACGAAGTCTACCTCCCCTTCTGTGTCTAACAGGGGCATTAGGGAAGGAGTCAGTAAGGGAAACTCTTTCAGGGTTAAGGCTTGGAGAAGACATATTGAAGAGGAATGATCTAAGGAAGAAGTCAACAAAGATTTGGAGAAATAAGTGTTCCATAAGTTTTATGTGATAAAAGACAAAGGAAAAAATTATATTTATACTGATAAGCAACCGCCAAAGGTAAAAGTGCGGAGGTGGAAAGACCATAATTATGATAACTGGCACTTCGTTAATAGTGGAACCGTAAAAACCTTGAAAAAGGCTGCAAAAACTGCAGAGCCAATGGAAAATTGACACGTGCATGAAATATTAAATGGAAGTTACAATTGAAGCGTCAATTTTGTCATAGCATTAATGGTGACAAAAATTCTCGTTTTAATGAAATCCACTTCCCAAATATTCAATTAATGAATAAATGGAAAGTGGGGGGACTATCTGTATTGGGAAAAATTGAATTTATATATGTTGAGACACGTTGACTGGTCAAATAGTCAAAGAATTATAATTAGTCAAGAGTCACGGGCAGCAATAGAAACGAGCAAAGGCAAAGGAAGAGGCACGGGAGGACATTTGAAGGATTCAGCGCCCGTACCTATTTAGATCATCTATCAAAGGAACGGATCTGACCATAATAAAGAGCGTAGATACGGAATTCGATAGGCATTAAATACCGAATACGTTAGAGAATTTGTATTGATTACAATGATTGTGTAACGTAGCATTCAATGTCTTTAATTATTCATAATAACCTCATTATGATTGAAGGAAACGCATATCTTCAAGATACCTATAAAAGGGAGGTATCTAGTCACTTGTAAGGACAGACGCAATTGAAATATACTCTGATTCACTTGTTTTTCTCCTGATTACATTCTGGTTACTCCAAATTATTCTCTTTTACATATCAGTAACCCGCGTTCTTCTAAATTCTAGCTTTGACTAAAATTCTATTTTTTAGTTAAACAGTATGTTCAAGGGAGCAGAAGCGTGGTTTGAGAAACTATAGTAAGAAATAATTTTCTATATATTTTGTGAAAGATTCATTGATCCCACATAGTTAAATAGTTTTAAGTCGTGGGCGAGTATCTCAATATTTTTTTAAAAATATACAACAAAAATCAATTTTTTAATTATGTGCTGACTATCGTTTCACTAATCTTATGTAAGTACAAAAAGGTTTAAAAATCTGTAATAATGTAGAATTTTTTAACCATAATTTTTACATATTTTGGTTGAGTTATTCCATATTTGAATGAATTTTCTGAGTTATGCTATCCAAATCTGCAGATGCTATGAAAGAATGAAAGAGCTGATGCAGAAAATTTTTCTGTGTGTTTTTGTATATTCACTACTATAGCTTCTATATACATATACATCCTATAGATAAAAAACAATGTACATATAATATTCCTAGACAAAATATATTGTTTACTATGTGAGTCCATACTCACTTTAGTGCATCAGCACTAATACAAATGTGAGCATGTGCTCACTCATGTGTATGGCACTAATAAATGAATGGCCCAGATGTGTTTTATGTCTTCTAATCTAACGGTCAAGATTAGATCTCCTGATTTGAATATCAAGGGCTATTATGTTGCCACATCATGCTCCACTTATCTGCCCAGCATCAATTGTAACGCTGGTGTCTTTCTTCTTTGCTTGTTCTGCTTCGTCTTTGCTTCTTATGCTTCCGATGCTTCTTCTGTTTCAACAGCTTCTTCTGTTTCAACATCCCCCCTCAAGGTGGAGGGGAGAGAATGGACCCCCAACTTGGATAAAATGCTCCGATGAGAGCCCCCAGATAAGGGTTTGGTAAATAGATCGGCGAGCTGAGATTCCGACGGAACAAAAGAGAGAGATATCAAACCGGACAGAAATTGTTGATGAACAAAGTGACAATCCAACTCCACATGTTTGGTTCGTTCATGAAAAACTAGGTTACGAGCTATGTGAATGGAGGCTTGGCTATCCGAGTGAACAGGCACTGGTAAAGTGGGTGGTGTTGATAGATCGGCAAGCAATCGAACTAACCAAGTGATTTCTGCGGTCACCCTTCTCATAGATCTGTATTCCGCCTCTGCGGAGGACATAGAGACGGAGATTTTTTTATTCGATTTCCAAGAGATTGGAGCTCCACCAAGGGTGATGAAGAAGCCACTAACAGACCGGCGCGAATCTCTACAAGCCGCCCAGTCTGCATCACAAAAGGCGAGTAGATCAAAAGATAGATGTGCAGTAAGAAAGATCCCTTGAGAAGGGTCAGTGCGCAAATAGCGGAGAACACGCAAAGCTGTAGAATAATGAGACATGCAAGGACGTTGCATATACTGGCTCAAACAAAGGACAGCGAAAGAGAGGTCCGGCCTAGTATTTGTTAAGTAGTTGAGCTTTCCAACAAGATGGCGATAAATGGTAGGATCAGGCATAGGTTCTCCCATATCAGCTTGCAATTTAGAGGAAGGGTCGAGAGGTGAAGATACAGCAGGACCTGTGCAGTCAAATTCAGCCAAAAGTTCCAAGGTAAATTGCCTTTGCCCTATTATAAAACCATGCTTTTCTCTGAGAATTTCCATGCCCAAAAAATGATGAATGGGACCAAGATGTTTTACTTTGAATTCTGAGTGTAGAAAAGCTGCAAGTTGTGCAATTTCTGTGGTGTCATTACCTGTGAGTAGTATATCGTCCACATATACAACTAATATGGAGATTAAATCACCTGATTGCTTGAAAAAGAATGAATAGTCATTTAGAGAGCTGGAGTAACCTTTGTAGCTCAGAGCCCCAGCTAACCTAGCATACCATTGCCTCGACGCTTGCTTTAAACCATAGAGTGACTTCCTTAGTCGACAGACAAGATTAGGTTGAGAAGGGGACAAACCTGCTGGGAATTTCATATAGACCTCTTCTTGCAAATCCCCATGCAAGAAAGCATTATTAACATCGAGTTGTGACACATTCCACCCCTTCTTGATAGCCACAACCAAAAGACACCTGATAGTAGTCATTTTTACCACAGGTGAAAAGGTTTCTGAATAATCTATCCCTTCTCTCTGAATGTCCCCCCTCACCACCAACCTAGCCTTTAGCCTTTCAATTGTACCATCTGAGTTATGCTTCACCTTGTACACCCATTTACAGGGTAAAGCTTTCTTCCCTGGTGGTAAGGATACAACATCCCAAGTGTTATTTATCTCAAGTGCTGAAATTTCAGCATCCATAACCTTTTTCCAACCAGGATGGATAGAAGCTTGTAAATAACTGCTATGTTTTGATGTGGTAGAAATAGATTTAAGGAGATGTTGGTTGTCTATAGAAAGAGCATGGAAGGAAAAGACATTTGGCTTGAGAGGTTTGGATAGACAGGAACTAAGGTCGGATAGGTAGATGTTATTGCAAATGTAATCATTTAAGTAGGTTGGTTTCTGAGTTACCCTGTCAGATTTTCTGACTGATGGAGGTGGAATTGGAATAGGTGTGCTGATTGATGAAGGAAAAAATGATCTGGACAGGATGGGTGAGTAAGAAGAACATGGAGTAGAAGCAAAGTCTGAAGGTGTTAGGTTGATGTTGGTTGAAGTAGAGAGACCAGGACATGTATAAGAACTGCTAGGTGAGGAGTGGGTAGAGGAGTAGGTAGATGTCCTAGAAGAGTATTCTGTTGAGTGATGGGGTAAGGTATCTGGTGGAATTGTATCTTGAGGAAAGAAAGGAAAATCAGATGTGAGAGGTGAGTGGGAAAAAGGGAATTGATCTTCATGAAACCTAACATCTCTAGATACAAACACCCTCTTAGTGACAAGCTCCAGGACCTTGTAACCTTTCTGATGTTGTGCATATCCGAGGAACACACAACCTTTTGCCCTAGGTTCAAACTTCCCTCTGTTGTTAGACAAAGTTGAGACATAGCACAAACAACCAAAACTCTTGAGTGATTCATAGCTAGGTTGTGTACCAAGCAATACCTCATAGGGTGTTAATCCATTTAGAAACTTAGAAGGGATTCTATTGATCAGATATGTAGTTGTCAGCACACATTCTCCCCAGTATTGGAGAGGCACCTTAGAGTTAAATAAAAGTGCCCTTGCTACATCCAAAAGATGTCTATGCTTCCTCTCAACTACTTCATTCTGTTGAGGGGTAGAAATACAAGAGGTTTCATGTATAATCCCTTCTGATTCAAGAAAACTTGCCTCTAGTGAGCCTTTTCCTAGTTCCATGGCATTATCAGATCTGGTCTTCTTAACTTTCAAGTTAAATTGTCTCTCTGCCATGCACAGAAATGATTTCAAGACTGAAAAAGCATTTCCCTTAGAACTTAAGAGAAAAGTCCAAGTGGACCTACTATAGTCATCCACAATAGTCAAGAAATACTTATAACCATTATAAGTCACAGTCTTGAATGGCCCCCATGTGTCAATATGAATCAAATCAAAGATAGCAGAACTCTTAATATGACTCAAAGGGAAAGGCAGTCTAGTTTGCCTAGCTTGAGGACAGATGTGACACACACAATCAAACTTAGAGGGAAACTTAATGAAATGCAGATTTCTCATTACTGAAAAGGGCAAATGCCCTAGCCTAACATGCCATTGCTTTACAGTAGCAGTAGCAATAGCAGCTAAAGGTACTGAAAAGGAAACAGAAGTAGAAATAACACTGTAATTTCTTCCTTTTGGAATGGAAACTACATTTTTTCTAAGAGGAGAGATAGACTCTTTACTAGCTGGCTGAAACAGGTACAATCCATCTCTAACTTCACCAAAAACTTGTCCCTTCCCCACTAAAGGGACCTGCAATAGACACCCATTAGAAGTTAGATTCAAAGAACAACTGAATTGAAGACATAACTTATGAACAGATAATAAGTTATACTTGAAAGAAGGTACATGAAGCACCCTATGAAGAACCATATCAGGCTGAATAGACACACTTCCTATATATGTAACACACAACTGGAATGAATTAGGTAAGCTAATGTGCAAAGGTGCAGGAAGAGAAGTAAGAGATAGGAAAGAATTAGCATCAAAACACATATGTTCAGAGGCCCCTGAGTCAATTATCCATGTTTTAGTGTTGAAAACAGCAAGACAAGTTCCTGTGTATTGGAGTATGGTACCAGCTACAGCATTAGCATTGATTTCTGATGTTGTGGCTGCTGCACTTTCAATCTGCACTTGCTTGATTATGTTTACCAATTCTGACACTTGCTCCTTACTGAAAAACTGGTTCTGACTGCTGATGTTTCCTTCACTACATGTTTCCTGTCCTGTCACCACTGCATTTCCCTTTATGGCAGGCTGATAATTTGTTGATTTTGTGAATTGAAAATCATCTGGGAATCCTATTAATCTGTAGCAATCTTCCCTTACATGCCTTGTTCTCATACAATGACTACAACTCATATTAGGATTGTATTTTACCTTCTTTTTGAACTTTTGTTGCATGTTCTGAATGTTCCCCTGTTTCTGAGGAGTTCCCCATGATTTTTGAATTTTGTTCCTTTGATTAAACTTCCCTTGAGGTCCTACCATAAAAGATGCACCATCTGTTGGATATTGTGGGCTAACAAATATTTCCCTCTAACTTTCATCTTGCAGGAGGATGGAATAGGCATGATCCATATTTGGAAGTGGGCTCATCATGAGGATATTGCCTCTTGCATGTGCATACACATCATTCAGTCCCATTAGGAATTGGATGACTCTCTGATCCTCTAGGAACTTGGCTACTTTCTTCTTCCCTTCACACACACAGGTACAAGTGCACCCTAAATGTGAGTTCAGGGAATCTAACTCATCCCATAACTTTTTTAGAGTTGTCAAGTATGCTGCAATACTGCTATTTCCCTGAACTGTCTTAGCAACTTCCTTTTGTAGGTGGTAGAGTTTGGCTCCATTGGATTGTCCAAACCTATGTTCAAGACTACTCCAAAGTTATTTTGCAGATTTGGAATAGATTACACTATCTCCTATCTCTTTAGTTAGAGAATTTAAAAGCCATGAGGTTACCATGTCATTGCACCTACTCCATTGTGCATGATCCTTTGAATCCAAGGCAGGTTCATCACAAATCCCATTGATGAACGCCAGCTTGTTTTTGGCTGACAATGCAATCAGTATTGACCTTCTCCATCCTGGGAATCCTCTTCCATCAAAAGGTGAGGTCACAAGAGTCATCCCAGGAGCATCTGAAGAGTGAAGAAAATAGGGATGGTTGACATCATGATTGACTGCTTGACTTGTTGATTCAGAAAGGGAAGGTGTTACTGAAGAATCTGTTCCAGTCATGGTGATAGAACAAGTTGAGTTCAAGGAAGAAAATTAGAAGATGAAGTTGAAGGATAGAGCAGAGGTCTGCTCTGATACCATGAAAGAATGAAAGAGCTGATGCAGAAAAATTTTCTGTGTGTTTTTGTATATTCACTACTATAGCTTCTATATACATATACATCCTATAAATACAAAAATTGTACATATAATATTCCTAGACAAAGTATATTGTTTACTATGTGAGTCCATACTCACTTTAGTGCATCAGCACTAATACAAATGTGAGCATGTGCTCACTCATGTGTATGGCACTAATAAATGAATGGCCCAGATGTGTTTTATGTCTTCTAATCTAACGGTCAAGATTAGATCTCCTGATTTGAATATCAAGGGCTATTATGTTGCCACATCATGCTCCACTTATCTGCCCAGCATCAATTGTAACACTGGTGTCTTTCTTCTTTGCTTGTTCTGCTTCGTCTTTGCTTCTTATGCTTCTGATGCTTCTTCTGTTTCAACAGCTTCTTCTGTTTCAACATGCTAAGAGCCGAAAATTTTCTTGAATGTGGAAGGAAGTCCAATTTATTATGGGCTGGCAAAAGTACAAATGCTTTCACCAAGATTCTTATTTTTCTAGCTCTTTTATTCTTATTTTTAGTTTTATTTAAAAAACCAATTCATTAATTTGAGGCTCTTTGTTACATATCTTTATTATGTCTTCTCTTAGGTTATCTAGCTTTATAATGTCTCGCATCTCTTCGATTGTCTCCCCTTATTTTTGTTAGTTAGAGAAGCAAAAAGTAAAAAAAGTCGATTTAATTATTATCATTGTTACTATTATTTTGAAAGCAAAAATTAGAGAAGAGATTCCTAGAATTTGAGAAACAAATTCAGATTCCACTAATTTGGTGATATGTTTCTGGTTTTCTCTTTGTTTTTCTTTCGTTATTCATTAGATATTAGTATACCTACCCACGCGATGCACGGAAAATATTAAATAAAAGTAATTTCACAAAATTTTATCTTATCGTTATTTTCACTGCTCTATTGTTAGATTTTCTTGCCGCCTTAACTATACTGCATTATAAACTACTTTACTTTGCATGTTGCAAGCAATAAACTTTATATTTGTATAAAATTAAATTAAGCTTTGAATGCAAAATTATTTTTGAAAAGCTCCACGCATTCTTCATACTGTGAACGGCCTTCAACAGTGCAATTTTGAGTAGAAAGAAAGGACAGTAATTTAGAAAAATAATGAAAAATAAATGATTTTAATGGGGTAAATTATTTCGGTAACTTTCTCAAACTTGTCAACCGAGATAATATAGAGAGATGCTAGTGATACTAAGTTTATCATATAAAATAAATTGCTACATATAAACACCTGTGTGTAATATTCATTTACCTCAGATAAACTTGCATTACACTTAGTAGAAAATCAATCCAAAGCATATGACAATACTAAACACTTATCAATTCTCACAACAATTTAAAAGATTTATTCTTCTCCCTAAGATACAGTTTACATATTAAAACACTCAGCATAACAATGTATTTCCGAAACTTTAGTACATCTCTAACTTTTGCAAAGCAGCTATAGAAATATTATTCATACATCCAAAATTGCAGATCTCGAATTCAAAGTATTCGAATATCATAGGCACCAGTCGGTTGAGCCGACGCCATGTAAAATCACACCAACCTTGCTTGTCGCTTTATTTTTACTATTTCTTTAGCCGAAGGTCTATCGAAAATAGCCTTAATATAATGTACATATTATTTGGCATGAAGATAACCATTTGTTGAGGATTTGTTTCCTCGAGATTGTGTTGTTCGACTTGACGTCCGGATTAAAAACTTCACGATCAGCCTCTAACCCAACAATAAGAAGGATGACTTTAATTTTTATGTTTTCAGCGATTGTTGTTGAACAGAGAAAGTAACTCGATATAAACGGGACAAACAAAAATTGGTAAAGCCAAAGCAGTTTTAATCTTGAAAGGAAAAATATATATGATAACTAAATAAAAAATAGTTATTAAGCCTCACAAAAGTTACTTGTAGTATCTCGAAAAGTTGTTCACAATACATAATAACTGGACTTGTATAGAAGTAGGAAAGATGCAGAATTGAGGCTAAAACTTATCAACAATATCATCACCTCACTTTTCTTATCAAGCCATTCAAGAATATAAGAAAATGTATGGCTTAAGAATCAGAATTCAATGACAGCAACCATATTTATGGAAAGAAAAAAATATATAAAAAACCTGCAAAATAAAACTCCAATGAATAAACTTCCAATTGACAGCATGAACACTAATATCTGTTGTTGCCTCTGCACAAACTTTTTCATAACTGTTTTCCAATAACAACAGCAGTAGCAGAATTAGGCCAAGAAAAAAGGATCTTCAAAAAAAGCTGATGATAGAAGAAATTATAGAAAGAAAGACTTAGACTGTAAGTGAAAAATTGACCTTGCACATCTAAAATGTAAGATAAATGATATGAATGTAGAAATATAATGAATAAACTTCCATAATGTTCACGGTACACATGCGAAAAGCAAGTCAAAAATAGAAAGAGAAAAAATAAAATAACTATTCATGATGATGTTGGTAGTCCAACAAATACAAAACTGGATCGAAAATTGAATATATTACTTTTATTCTATCCCTAATTGCCTTCAACAATATTGGTCATCTTTAAGAAAATGGTTATAATTAATAAATCAATGCTAATTATTTCTTTTTATCAATTGACACTCGGAAAAATTTCTATGCGGAATAGAGAAGCTCCTAAAATACCACTAAGTTAAAAATTAATAATGGCAGCGAGCAATCCAAAAGCATATCACTCATTGCATATACTTTGGAAAAAGCAAGTTTTCATCCGATCATTCTAAGCTCAACTTTTTTCTATTCTTTATGTTGCTCTAGTTCTAAAGACTAAGACTTGATGTTTAATCCTACCTTACCAAAAAAAAAAAGCACTTAATGTTTAATCCAAAGCACAATCTAATAACTAAATTTTGCATTCATAACCTACTCAAAATAAAGCAGTAGATAAATGACGATGAGAGGAACTTACTTGAGATGCTTCCTATACCACCCAACATATCTTGATGAGCCTCGTATAGCCACTAATTTATTTTCATCTTTGTACCTCGCAAATCAGCCATGTGCAATCCCCGGGAAAATCTTCACAGATGTATGTTTAAAACTTCTATGAGGTTTAACTAGTTTATATAGTGACATCTTATTAGTTTAATATTTTTAAATAAGACTACTTGGAACATTACAATGCCAATTTTCCTTCTACTTGTTTGAATTTGTAATTTTGAACATCATATAGCTACCTCAAAGACTCCACAAGTTCACTATCATATTCATATTCAAACACAACTAATATAGAAAACACATGAACGCAAAAATTTTCTTCATAAGGAGGCACACTAAAATTTCAAGTTTCTCTACACGTACACAATTCAATCTAGATCATTGCCTATTCGGTGATTTCATAACTATTTACTCATCAACCTCTTTCTCATCTATTTTCACGGTTGTTCAGTAACATCTTTCGGCCGAACAATATTTACCATAGCACTATCACGCCACTTCATAATTTAGCGATTCCACTCATTTTTCTTTTTTTTCCACATATAAAACATCAATCGTTGATTTGAAATGAAGGCATCTTATATTATTTATTTTTCTCTGCTTGGAACATTACAATGCCAATTTTCCTTCTACTTGTTTGAATTTGTAACTTCGAACATCACAGAGCGACCTCAAAGACTCCACAAATTCACTACCACATTCATATTCACACGCAACTAATATAGAAAACACATGAACGCAAACCTTTTCTTCATAAGGAGGTACACTAAAATTGTAAATTTCTTTGCACATACACACTTTAATCTAGACCATTACCTATTCGGTGATTTCATAACCATTTACTTATCAACCTCTTTCTCACCTATTTCTACGGTTGTTCAGTCAAATCTTTCGGCCGAATAACCTTATTTACCATAGCACTATCACTGAATAGTAAAATATTCACTGAGTATTTTATACACTGCAGATAACACACAAAATCAGATGAAGATCCTTATTCAATAAGAGAACATTAAGTACTTTGTTAAATTCCCCGATCATTTAAACCTATATCAATAAAATAACATTTATCAAAACATATGTAACAGTAGATTAATTTGCTTTTTTTACAATCATTGCCTACATACGCAAACAGACAGATTGTGAAGTGATGTTTGAGGAGGAACACTCTTGATTCTCTTATTAACACCTTCCTTCATTCGTCTTGTATCCTTTTGTTTGTTGTACCAATCAATCATTAAAAAGCTTCGCATCATCATCCAACTCAATTATTTTGGCGAAAGTCAAAATCGTATATCAAATTTCATCTACCAAATTGGTTTGGTTATACTAAAATTCAATTCAAGTTTCAAATAGAAGATAAATAAATTTAAAATAAGGAGAACAAGAACCTGTTTCTATGTGATAAACTTCAGATTTCATGCCTACAACCACCAATTAGGTAGTCTTCTTTCATAATCTGTCATCAAAATTGGTGGTTCTTCGATCTGGTAATTAGTTGTACAAATCTCCTCCCAGAACAATTTATGGTTCTTAGATCTGGTCATCATTTGATGAAATTAGATGAGTTTTAAACTTCTCCCAAGAAGAGAACACTGATTGTTGCAGCAGTTTTCGCTAGGTTAATTTGTTACCCTTTTTATGCTTAATTTTGCAATTTCGTGGGATCGTGGGGGGTTTCTTATCTTTTAATTTAATGTAATTAAATAATATAGAATTCAGATACAGTTTTTTTAACAAAGAAGGTCGTTTATTAGTTTTTTAATTGCGACAGTTTTTTCTTTTTTCCCCCCCCCCCCCTTTT